TCACCTCCTTTTAACTCACAATTACTGACCATGTCTCAATCCTTTGCTTCTTCTTCTGTACTTGAATTCTATACAGATGGATCTCTAAAAGACTTAGGTCTTCCTATAATAAGAATGGGTATTGCCTGGCTTCAGACTCACCAAAATTTATCAATGACTTCCTTTTCTTCAGCTTTTACATCTCCTTTTCCTTCCTCTTTCCTACTTGAATTTGCAGCTATTTTTACTGCCTTACTTACAGTCCCACCTTCCTGTAACGTTACCTTTTATACTGATTCAGCAGTAATCATCTCCCAGTTTAACAAATATAAGTTTCTCCTTACAAAAGCTTCCACCATTCGCCCTGCTTTCAAAATCAATAATTATGTGCATTGGTCATGTTTTTTTGATATAATGAACACTCACAACCTCACAGTTAAAATGATCAAAGTCAAAGCTCACACTGATAACATTTTCAACAACAAAGTTGACGCCTTGGCAAAATCCAGTTTAAACTCCATAGCCCTTCAACTATATACAAACAACGCACCTCGATGCTATTTCATATATAACAATGCCCCAGTGCTAATACCTATTAGACAATTTTGCAAAGAATTATTCTGTGAACGTTCTCTTTCCAGGTTACTTTATCTCTCTGTCCTTGCAAAACACTCACTGCTCTATCAAATCAACTGGTTAGCCACCTCCTTCATACTCAATAACAACACAGCCACACAATCCACCTCCTACTCCGCCTCCTTTATTAGAAGAACAAAATATCAACGTCTCCTTGAAATGTTACCAACGTTTGAGATCCTCAAATTAAGACATTCTTCCATATATGATCATTCGCTCTTGTGCCTCAGATGTGACGCCGCTGATGAAAACTTTTATCACATATGGATGTATCCTACTGTTAATTACGAAATGAAAAAGATTATTCAACAATCAAAAACTTATCTAAAAGCTATAACCGATGCGTATAATTATGAAATTGAGCAGTTGAACGTATGGTTGCTTAACACCTACAATACTTCTGAATTTTTTGCTCTTATTAGAGGAATCGTTCCAGTACCCCTTTTTAAATTCTTTATAAAGAAATTTTCATCTCTAAGTTTAGCTTTAGCTGCTTGCTCTTCCTTCATACATCTGATTTTTGAACTTACACAAAATATTTGGCGCGACCGTTGTCAACTCGTGCACGATTTTGAAAAATCTTCCAATATTATCCTAGATTCTAAGACTGCCAATTTTGTCACATCAGGTTATGACTTATCCTCTAACTCCTCCATTCATTCTTTTAGCTCTCCTCCAATATCTTCAATGGTACGGATGGGATCTCATTGGTCAAATTTTTGGTGCAGTAGTGGCCTCGTCCTCTTCACTTTCTTACGTATGTATACTCGAAATGTGATTTTTCTAGCTTAGGTTATAAAATGATTTTGGGAAAGTGCAGGGTCAGTCTTCTATAGTTTTAATTCTAGATTAGTTCTTTACAAGATTTTTGTGATTTCTTCTGATTTGTACAATTTTTAATTTTACTTTCATAATAAATATATTGCAAAACTACCGCACTTTAAAAAAAAAAAAAAAAAAAAAAATATAATTATTACTAAACTAATCAGATTATATCTAACAATTAATAGTTATCTTTTCTAATAAATTTAATCCTTTATATATATTTAATATATTAAATATATTAATTATATTAATTATATTAACTATATTAATTATATTAAACATATTTAATATGTTTAATATATTTAACATTTTTAATATATAATACTTCATTACATTTGTAAATTATATATAGATTATATAATTATTATTCTGTAATATTATTAAATACTATAATATCTTTGCAATCTTGTGATATAATATTTATTAACTCTTTTAAGATTAATAATATTTATAATTTAAAAATCAATATAAAAATTTTTATCAAATTTTAATTTATATAAATTTACTTAATACAGTCAACTCTTAATATAACGAACTCTTGATATAATGAATTTTTTGAACAAATATAATAAAATACTCTTGTTATAGCAAATTGGCTAATCAAATCTCTTAAAATCTTCATTATAGCCTTATAGCGAAGTTGAGGTCTAGGATATAGAGTTTATTATAATAAGAATTGACTGTAATTAGATATAATATCAAAAAATTACTTATTAGAAATAAAGTTAAAATATATGAAATTTCATAAAATTAAATAAAAAAATTGTTTTTTTAAATATTTATAATGCTATTAATTTTAGCAAAAATGTTTAGAATTCTGTAAATCAACAAATAATTTTTAATTGTTGAAAATATACAAAAATTCTTTATAAAATAAAGTAGATAATAAAATTAATAATAAAGTTAAGAATTCTGATTAAAAATTTTTTTTAATGAAATAGAAATATAAAAGCTGATTTATCAACTTTATTTGATAATCTTATAAATATAAGACTTTTTTTATATTGATGATTTTTAAAAATAATAATAAAAGATTAACTGATGATAAAATTGTAACTATAGTAAAATTAAATAATAATAAATTAAAAATAGATTTAAATAAAAAGTCTTTAGAAATAATTTTTAAAAAAAAATTTAGATTATTTAGATAATTTTATTTTATTTTTGAATATTCATCAAATATTTTTATTGATCTAAATAAATTAAATATTTTACATAAATTAAGGTATTAGGTATTGACATTTTATATTAATAATATAAACTAAATTACATTAGATAGTTTTATTAAATAATATATATCATAAATTTTAATATCTTATAATAATAAAATAATTTTAACTGTTATACTTATCAATTATTAATCTTTATTTTATGTTCAATAAATTTAAGATTTTTATTATATAGAATAACAATGTGATTATAATAAAATTTTTTATATTAATATTAATCAACATACTATATTAAATATTAATACATAAAATTTTTATGATGTTTTAATAATTTAATATATTAATATTTTTTTTTCAAACTGATTTTAACTATATATTATTTCACTTACATTATTAAATATTAAAAAAGAGCATCATATTTATTAGTCAAATTTATATATATTAATAATACTTATAAATATAAATATATAATAGAATAAATATATAAGATTTGGAAATAAATATATATTTTTTCTATTAAATATAAAATTTTAAACAGTTAATTTATTAGTTTAATTATTTAAAATAAGATTGTTAAATATTAACTTAAATAATAAAAATACTAATACTAGTAAAATAAAAAATGAAGGTGAAGATAATAAAAATAATAAAAAAATTTATATTTAATTATTTTTTCTACTAATAACAATTGATGAAATATTTTTTAAAAAGATTTAATGAAGAAATTTAAGAAATTAAGTGTATTAAAAATCTGATATAATAAAAAATATATTTCTATTTATTGAATTTATTATATAAGATTAATAAATTTAAACTCTATATTTAAATTATTTCTTTAAGCTTTGAATTTAAAAAGTAGTATATAGAAATTTTTATTTAAAAATCAGGATATATATCTAACTTAATGACACTATTTATGAAACTAAAAAGTTACTAAAAACTACAAAAGTTTATTTTAAATGAAACAAATGTTATAATATATAACTTGTGTCTTTTAGGTTAATTAACTCAATTGTATTTGCTGTTGACTTGGATGAGTTTTTGAAGAATTTGTATATTTATTCGCTCAAAATGTACTTAAGCTATAACAGTTGCTAAGGTTATTACAAGTGTCTTTAGACAATTCAGTGCATCCTTAATAGCAAAATATCCTATACGCAGTCTTTAGTAATTATTACGACACATTTAAAGCAGGAATTCATCTAATCTACAAATTTCACTATATGGAGCCCAAAAGAAGTCTCATAGCATCCATGAGAATGAGGAATTTTTTTTAAAGAAAAACTTTTATAACATAAAAGTGACAAAAAAGATATTTATTGGATAGTCACGGAGTGCTAAAGAAAAGTTTCAAATTGATTTGTTATATATGTCCTTCACTAGTTCGATCTTTTTACCATTGTTTTGTTCAATTAGTTTTGTTGGATTTCATTTTCTTTCGGTTGTCCCTGAAACAAAAAATTATTAGAGGTGAGATTGTGCATAAGAAACTTTTCATTGTAATCCCGAATAGGGATTCCTGAATTTTCTGCAGAACAAAGGTTTAATGCAAGAATTGACAGAATTTATGAAAAAAACGAGCCGGGGATCTATCAATGAAATGATTAAACATCTTTTAGAGAAAATTTGCGGGAGAGTTTATAATCTATTAAAAAATAGGTACCGATAAAATTAAGCAATTAACGTTCAAAAATATTATAAAATACATTTCTGACAAATATCTCGCACTATATCATCAGAGAAGGATTCCACACCGGAAACGCACAATAAATTTGACACCTCTTGCCTTATGAATAGATGTCAAAAAAATTTTCCCGTTTTGGATCTTTTTTTTTTTTTTTTGTACGAAGCGAAATGGTATTTATTTACGAGATCGCCTATTTTTCATGTACTTTTTTTTTGCGTTATCGCATTGCGCATGGGTGAACACGCCATCAACAAGAATACGTTAGTATGCATATGTCAAATTATGACGAAGGATCAACAAAACAAAACTGCGGCATGCAAGATAACCCCGCTTCGTGATGTGGTTGGTTGAACAATTGTGCCACTTGACAATGAATAAACATTTGATCAAAAAAAAATTTTTTTTTTAATATAAATATCAATTTCGTTTTCCACATTATCGTTTATTATTCATTAATTAACGATATGGGAAGAGTTGGAAGAAAGAGAACTCATAAAGGTTAGTTTCAGATCTATTAATTCTGTTCATTTCTTATTCTTTTTATTCTATTTCAAAATATTTTAACATTTTGACTTCCCTTACTTGTAAATACTTTAAAAGATTGTTTATGAGAGTTACTTGATAAAACTATTTCTTTTTTCTTGATTTGAAACTAAAAAATATATACCTTTTACTTTTCCTCTTAAATCTATTCTTAAAACCAAATGAAATATGCAATAGGCATAAGAGATCACTATAGAAAATATCGAACTAGAAACTACGCAAAAGATCTTGATCAAATTCATGAAGATATAAAGAAAGTTAAAGAACATGGAGATGAGATTTTGAAAATACAAGATTGGAATGAAGACTTACCAGGATTAGGACAATTTTATTGTATACCTTGTGCGTAAGTGTCATTATAGTGTAACAAGTGTTTGATTTAACCTGATTAATTTCTACCGTGACACTGAGCTTGTGATTGTCTAGTCGACATTTCATTAATTCCGAAGCCCATAATGAACATCAACGTGGCAAGAATCATAAAAAACGGTAAGGAATTAAATATCGATTAGTATAAATAAATGGAAAACCTGTTTAATTATATTCCATATTTATTTTTCACGATGGGATCGATATTCAACCGATTTCTCCACAATATATCTATTAGGGTTAAACTTCTTAAAGAAATTCCTTATACACAAGCGGAAGCAGAATCCGCCGTTGGCTATTCAACAGAACATTCAAGGGAAAAATCAATCGGTGCTATCATAAATAGTAATTGACCAAAGCATGATAATCAACTGAAAACTAAAAATTCATAAACTTTGTAATAAAACAATTATTGTAATGAACGTATTTTACCACAAATTCAGCATCGTTAATGATTAAATTTTGTTGAAGATAAATGCCACACATCAGTGGGTGAGTCCAAGTTTAGTTAGGATAGACGTGCGTCATTTTCAGTTTAATTAATTTTCATAAAAAAAATCATGTGGGGTGATGTGGGGTTAATGATTACTTGATTTGGTTTCATTCAGGGATGGGATGTAAAGTCATGTACGTCGTTGTAATACCATCACTGCATTATCAGCTCGTTTTGAATTTCCCCCAAAAATATAACGATTCATTGTCAAGTTCTGAAAATAGATCAAAAGGAGATAACATACAAGAATTGAAACAGGTTTTTCACGATGTTAGAACTGATTTTTTATACAGTGTATCACCATTTGTTTAGGGTTTTACTGCTTCGTAACGGTGTGCTTGGGAAAATTTATCATCTCTTTTTTTTTTTTTTTTCATTAAAAAAAAAACCATCTAATCTACATTGAGAGTGATTACACTTTTAGTAGTTTTTTGTGGAGGTCAATAGCATTACAACAGAAAAAGTTCAATTGACAGGTGGTAATTTTTTATGATGCATTATAAGATGGATCACTTTTTATTAATGAAAAAGCAACCATTTGTGGAAATTTCATGTGGAAAAAAACGGGATCTACAAGAAAAAAAAAAAAATAGGGTACAAATCAAATGAAGTTTCATTATCAAATTAATCTATGCAAAACAAAAAAAAAATCTTTTTTTTTTAAAAAAGGAATATTAATAGCTCCCGATTAGTACGGGGTATACCGTTGATATGCGGATAGAAAATGTTATTGATTTCGCCGTTTCACATGTAAAGATACCGTTTTTAGCGAATATTCACAGGATTTGAAACCTGTATTTTCATTTTTTCGTAACACGGGCGAAATATTTGACTCATGTGTTTTGATTTCAACTAAATTAAAAAAACTCCCGTGTTTCGAGTTTCGATCATTCCGAAGTGTATCACTTATTGAAAATTCCGTTCAATTTGACCATCATATGCAACTTTCATGCAAGGCAATGCATTTCGTTTGTGTCATCCTATAGTATTTATTGTAAAGGAAAAAGGTTTTCTTCGATCTTCATATTCTAAAATCCCAATCTTCATTATTTTGAGAGAAAAAAATTAAAAAATTATAGAAATTTTTTTAATCGAAGGAAGGTAATACAGAATGAATATCGACGAACTTTAACCAAATATAGATGGATTCGCAAATCAACTTGACAAGGAAAAATTAAATATATTGTTATCATATATGATCGTAATTTACGACGGCAATATGCGAAATTTGTTTTCCTTTATTTAGTCGAATATACGAGAATGAAGCATCCCGAATGATGCAATAATCGGTTTGATAAATTATGATGAAAAATGAAATATGCGTTCAAATCATAAATGTCAAATATTTCTCCTAAAAAAAAAAATTACAGATTGTGCAACTCAAATGACCATTATATAATTGTGTTACAGCAACACAAAAATGGAGTCAGTCATTAATATATTTGATTTACATGTACATCATAAGTTTTTTAACTGATTTTTTCCACTAGCAGTTGTTCAACTGGGACATGAGAGGTTGTAAAATCTTCAACCATCCTTTTTTTTTTTCTTGATACTATAAATACCCTTGATTTGAAATTGAATCAAAAAAAGAAAACCTTTTTTAAAAAACTTTTTTTAAAAATATAATAAAAATAAATAAATTCATTTGTAAATTAAATATTTTTCAATTAAATAAAATAATTTTTTTAAAAAAAATATCAAATTTTCTCTTATTTTGTAAAAATTTTACCGTGAAGAAAAAAAAAACCAAAAATTAAAAAAATGGCAATCTTTGGATATCAAAACAATTTTAGTAGTATGAATGTTGAAAACTTACAAAAATTCGCATTATTTCGATACTTTCTTATTCCTTTTGCTATCTTTTTGACAGTGGTACGCTCCTTTTTGTTTTAAGCATTTACATTCATTTCGCCCTCTATTCCTTTGTCAGTCAATCCTAATTGATATATTTTATATTTATTCAACGGTAATTTATTTAGGTCCCCACGGGAATCCTTTCTCTTACACAACAATATCAACAAAATCAAAGCGTAACTTATACAACAATCATATCTCCACGAGAAGAATTATTTCAAGAAAATATTGGCGACACTTTGGGTGGAATAGTGTTAATCCCAAACCTAACTTTAAGCGGTGACTTTGTATGCGTTATATGTGCATGGATCATCTCTATGATTGGGATTTTTGATTTCTTAAGAAAGAATAACCTTGTTGGTCAATTTGTATCCTTAAATCTTTTTTTTTTCCATAAATGGAAAATTCGATCCATGACGTCACTATTGATCCTTGACCCGTGATCGGTTTTTCTTGTAGATTTCTGCATTTTTAATCGTATTCACTGTACTACAATTCCTATCCGCTATTCACAGTGTGGTGTATATTGATCAATGGATTTTTGAAATTTTAAGTGGTTCATGGCAAAAAGCGTATTTATTTGATTCCGAACTGATAAGAGAAATTCAATATGAGGTGTGTAATGTCAATTTTTATAATCGATATCAAAAATCCTTATTATTTAAAAATCATTAAATGAAAAAGATTTTTCCTTTTTTTTTTTTACCTTCAGTTTTCGTGTAAAGGATACGCGTCAGTTGATGATCGATCTGCAAATATGCCTTATAGATTTGATGAATGTTGTAGTAAAATGTTGATGAATCGGTTTGGTGCACAATTATTTGATGTAGCTAAAATTGTATTATTGGCACGATTTATTCAGGTAAATAAGCAGATTTGACGCGTCTTCATCTTGCATGTGATTATTAACTTTAACATTTTTTTTTTTTTTTTTTTGTTCTTATAGTTAATTGGAGTTCTAATACACGCTCATATATTCAACCGGGTTATATTACATGATATCATGATGATGTATGCGGAGGAATGCGATGCTGATCATTTTTATGATGATAAAGAACAACATTGTATATCGAATTCTCCAAATGATTTGGAAGAATACAACAACAATAGTTGGATAAGTTCTCCAACTACTTCGTTACTACTTTCGAAGATTTATTTTGGACAAATGTCTTAAAAAAAAAATTTATAACAAACAACAGACATTTTACGTTTTTATGGACTTTTGTTTTTGTTTAATTTTTTTCCGATGGTTCCAACGGATGGTCTCCTTTTTTTGGTAATCTTTTCGCTCACGATTTCTTACTAAGATGGCTTACCAGATTGCTTGCCTTAACTTTCCCTCCAAAGTTTTGAAAACTCTGTTAATAGGGCTTTTTTAAGTTCGGCAGTATCATTCGCACGACACAGCATTTACTTTACTCATTTGTTTAAAACCAATTTAATTATTTTCATCTGATTCTTAAAAACATTTTTAACGAACAAAGACGTTGGAATCTATTTATTCTCACCATATCACAATTGGATCCCCCCTTTTATTTGTACAATTTTTTTCACTTGCACTTATTTTTATTTGTTTTTTTTATATTTTCTAAATAGCCTATTTATTCTGTTTATTCTGTTTTGTCTGTAATTTTCTTAACA